CAAAGACATGTCATCCACCTTCGGAGCAAGAAATCTATTTGGCCCAGACACCTGCTAATTATGACCCAGGATGACCAAGGAGCCTTGCAGATGGACTACCCCTACATTCCAACGGACTGTTACTACTTTGGCTACTTGGAGGACATCCCTCTGTCCACTGCCACCATTGACACGTGCTATGGGGGCTTGGCAGGTATCATGAAGTTGGATGACCTGACCTATGAAATCAAACCCCTCCAGGACTCGCACACATTTGAACACGTTGTTTCTCAGGTAGTGACTGACTACAACAGTACAGGGCCAACCCCATCCGAAGAGGAAGAAAACAAAGACTCAGACCTCTTGCTCTCTGAGGTAAGCCACCTAGCAGCTCCCAGGTCCCAAGTTATGGTGTATCCTTCCCATCCATTCCGTTTCAAGAATCACATTCAAATTTCTCATGGCACGTTTCTGGTGCTCAACAGTAATATATCAGGAATTATAGAATTGTTACTGCGTACGTGGAGTGTTGTTGACAGCATTTTCAAAACAGTTTATGCTGGAGTTTATATTACTGCTCTAAACATATATAATATACAAGAACCAGTGATACCTTTCACTGATTTTACAATCCCAGACGGTCGAATCCACAATTATTATCGTCATAATTATTATAACATATTCCATCCGGATATATCCACATGGATGACACCACATGACCCCGAGAACATGATAGGATCAATTCTAAGATTCATGTGCACCAACAGTAACCTATGGTATCTTTCCTACCGAGGCAGACATTACCTACTATTAGCTATTATGATTTCACAGGCCCATATAAAAATGATGGGTATTGATTATGATAATCAATATTGTGCATGCTATAGAAGAACCACCTGTATAATGCACCCATCCTTGCAATTGACAGACACCTTCAGCAACTGTACCTTCACTCATATAAATTATGCAAGTGGGTTTACAGGCAATCCGTGCTTTTATTATCTGGACTACACTTACTACAATAAAACCCTGCTACAGGATCGCTGTGGCAACTACGAGGTGGAAGGAAACGAGCAATGTGACTGCGGCTCCTTTAAGCAGTGTTATGCCAATCCATGTTGTCAAAATGACTGTCGGTTCTCACCTGGAAGTGTTTGTAATAAAGCAAAATGCTGCACAAACTGCACCTACTCCCCTTCTGGAACTCTCTGCAGACCCATCATGAACACATGTGACCTTCCAGAATACTGCACCGGGTCCGCATTCACGTGCCCTGAAGATTTTTATGTTCAAGATGGAACACCGTGCACTGAGGAGGGCTACTGCTACCACGGGAACTGCAGTGACCCCAATATGCACTGCAAAGAGATCTTTGGCGAAGGTGCACATAATGGTCATGACAGCTGCTATGACGTGAACACCATAGGGTTCCGATTTGGCTTTTGTTCTAGACATTATCCGGGTTTGTATTTTCGTAGGTGTGCTCCGGAACACAAGAAGTGTGGGAGGCTGCAGTGCACCAATGTCAGCACTGTCCCCAAGCTGCAGGATCATGTTTCCTTCCACCAGACTATGTATGATAATGTCTACTGCTTCGGGTTAGATCGACACCGTGCAACAGGAGCCAGTGATGTTGGACACGTGAGAAGTGGCACTCCCTGTGCTGACGGGCTTTTCTGTATCAACTTCCAATGTAATGGGACAATGGCTGAACTGCAGTATGACTGCACCCCTGAGAAGTGCAGCTTCCGAGGAGTTTGCAACAATAGAAAGCACTGCCACTGCCATGTGGGCTGGAGTCCCCCACTGTGCCTCAGTACTGGTCCTGGTGGGAGTTCAGACAGCGGCCCTCCGCCCAGAAGAGTCCGTGAAATAAGAAGCAGCCTGGAACCGATCTACATTTGGAGAGTGATCCTTGGTCGTATTTGTGCTTTAATTTGTGCACTGCTCTTCGGGGTAGCCACAAACGTGCGAACCGTTAAAATTACCACGGTTAAACAACAAGAAATCCCTGAAAAACCTCAACCACAGTAAAGTGGCAGTTGGCCTCCGGACCCCTGTGCAAATGTAGAGACTGTGATAGGAACATCTGTGAGTCAGTGGGAGAAGCTACACTGTTCAGGATCATGTGCCCTGAAGGCTGCAGGGCACACAGGGGTCCTTCCTTCACCCAGGAGGAGATGGGAGGTCTGGATTTGTGTCACCAGTTCGCCCTGGTGGGTGCTGGTGCTCACCTGAAATAAACCTCCAAGACCTCATGCATTGTCTCCCGGGTCCTTCCATCAGCTCTCAGGAGTCCACAGGAGCCTGTCTGTGGAGGAGGAGAGTCAGAACAGCACCAGGGGCAATGCCTGTTGGCTGCCCCAGGATGATGAAAATATCCCTGTGTCCTTGTAGGGCACCTGCTTGACGTTTCCCTAACAGAGTGCCCCTGGGCTCTGTGTTTTCCCTGCTCCTCTTTCCTGAGTCAGAATGGGTTTAGCGCCATGCAGGACGAATCCCATGCAATGTCTGCCAACCACACACAGGAGTGGCTGTGAGCACTGGCACAGAGGATGGGGGCTCCCAGCAGGGACAGCACAGACGCCTCAGGGAGAGGCAGCCTGCTGGCAGGTTTGACTGCCACAACTGCTCTGGTGGGGTGGGAGGCAGCAGATGGCCAAGGTAAGAGGCCTTTGTACTTGGCCTCCTTGGTTGCCAGGCTCATGGTGCGCATGGCTGGGACAGTCTCGCCATGCGCAGTGCAGCTTCACGTGTGGTTTTTCCTCATTACCCTTCAGTGGGGTGAGTTCACCTCCAGTGCCTTCAAATCCCAGATGCCCCATGCCTTGTACCGCCTCTGTCTCACGTCCCACACTCTCGGCCCAGTCTTGTCTTCTGTTTGCCAAATCAATGGAGGACCCAGCCTCTGTCCTGTGCTTGTCTGGTGTCCCCTCAGATGCTGCTTGGGGACATCGATCCTCCTTTTACATCCATGTCCTCAGTCACACACGTTCCTGTGTCGAACCCTAACCCAACCCTAACCCTGAAGGCTGTGCTTGACCTCCCTGCAGACTCATGAGCTGGGAGGTGTATGCCATCTTCATAGTGGGAAGCAGCATCCTGTGCTCAGGAATCTGGGCTGGGTCCTGAGAAGGGCTCCCTCCTGCCTGGACGCTGAGGCTAACCCCAAAGTTCCCTGTAACTGGTTGCCGCCAGATCAGTACCCCTACAGCTACTTCGTGAGGTGGAGTGGAGCCGGTGGCAGGGGCCAGGAGAGCACTGCACAGCAAGAGACCTAGGGCGGTGGGTGAGAGTCAGCAGGGAGCTGGGGCACAGCACGGGGATCTGGAGATGGAGTTTAGAGCACAGTCATAGAGGGACTCCTGGCAGTGGGAGAGTCTGTGCTGCCGGGAATGGGGGACCCTTGTTACTGCTGAGACAGCAGCTGACACGGAGCCCAAGAAAACACCTGTTTCCTTTCTGCCAGGAGACACAGGAGGGCACCAGGGAGTCTGGGCAGTGGTGCCCACTCAGGAGATTGGAAAGCAGGACCATGAATAGGAAACAATGAACATCAGCAGTGTGAGTCCCACCCACCACTGAGGGTTCCGCTACCCTAGACACCACAGCAGGTTCCTGCAGTGCAACAACCTTTTTGACAAACTTTCGATGAATTACTGATGTATGGAAGACATTCCATAGAGAATTAACTACATGTGACAAATCGAAAGGCCCCACACCATTTCATGGGGAAAGCTGAAGTCGTGTGGATGCAGATTTTCACAGTGGGTTGTCAGAAGTGACATTTCTACATCAGTTGATAGAATTGTTCAACTATTAAAGAATCCACCATGAGAGATAGATATGTATCATTGCAGGAAATCTTTTGTAGACATATGAAATTGTTGCACTTATGCTTGTTAATAGAATATTTGTTCCTTTCAGATGATGAAAAAGTTGAGAAACAAATGTGACTATTTGGCCTTAAGCACTTGAGAACCTGTGAATACAGCCTCAGAAACCATTGAAGGAAGGAGGTGGTCTGGATAAACGGTTTCTGGTGAAGATCTTTCACGTAGCAGTGATTCAGCGACAGGGTTGGATCGTGGAGCTGGAGCCAGCAGGACACTGTCCTTAATGACCTGGGCTCCATAAGCCAGATTGCCTGGTCAGCGCTGTCTGGTGGTCTCGGTGGAATGGAGCAAACTCTATCAGAACAAGAGCAGCTCCACATCCAGTATTTTCTAATAATCAGATCACTTCATATATTCTGTGCACTTCTGGCCAAGTGAGTTCTGGGTTAGGGGTGGGGAGTAGATTGAAGCACAAAGGGAATGAGGAAGTCCTGTCAGCAGTTGCAGGAGCCTCATCCTGACCCTCACCTGAGCAGCAGGTTCACAGCCTGACAATGGGGCTTAGACCACATGGAGCTCCACTGTGGTTCAGGATGCAGCAGAGAAAGGGAGCTGTGGGCACACAGCCTGCAGAGGATGATTCTGATCGTCACAGGGAAGAGGACAGGGGTCACACTGTGTCACATGTGTCCAGCTGTGCAGGGAGGAGGTGGACTTGGACACTTCAGGTTTACCAGGTCAGGCTCTGCTCTGCACTGTGTCTGGTTCTGGTCTGAATCCTACCTGCCTCAACCAGAGAATCCCACTGAGGGCTCTGCCTGACCCCAATAGGAAGAGACTCCCAGGTGCCTGAGATCCCTCTTGACTCTGACCCGGATGACCCCAGGGCAGTCATTTATTCCTCCATAAACAGCTGCCTTTTCTTCATGTAAAGGTCTCCATGACACATCAAAACGTGTCATGCTCAGGGAGGTCGGGATTGGGGACGGCATCATTGATGGGAATTTGTAACTCAGGAAACTGTTACAGGAGCGGAAACCACAAGTCCAGATAGCAACCTGCCACCAACCCCTTCTGTGGTTGCTCAGTCTAAGTCAGCTCAGTGCTCATTGTGCGCCCCCTGGTGGAGCCACAGGCCCTGCAGCCAGGTTTGTGCCTGGGCTCACACTGAGGGCCCTGCACTGTGTCTCTGGCACAGTAATAGATGGCCGTGTCCTGGGCTGTCAGAGCGGTCATTTGCAGGGACACCGTGCTGGTGGCGCTGCTGCTGGAGATGGTGAATCGGCCCTTCACGGAGGACGCGTAGTATGTGTTACCACTACTGCTAATTACTGCGAGCCACTCGGGGCCCTTGCCAGGAGCCTGGCGAACCCAGCCCATTGCATTGCTACTGAGGCTGAATCCAGAGACTTTGCAGGTGAGTGTCAGTGTCGCCCCAGGCTTGACCAAGCCTCCGCCGGACTCCACCAGCTCCTGACACTGGACACCTGCAAACACAAACGTCCTCATTGGAAACTGTCACTCACACCCACTGACCCCTCACCCTCATCCTCTCCCATACTCAACACCCCTTGTCCTCCATCACTGACCTTGGAGCACAGCCACCAGGAGAAGCCATCTCAGAGCGGTCTCCATGGCGAGTGTCTGTGTGGAGTGCGATCCCTGAGTGGGACAGCTGGGAGTCCCTGGTCTGGGGCTCCTGTGTCAGAGCTGCTGGTGAGGCTGGTTTTCATGAGCAGAGGGAGGGCCCTATTTGCATGTCCTGCTCCTATATAGGAAGTTCTAGTTTGCAACACCTCAGAAGATTTTCTTAGGCAAGTTTTGGACTAAAGAGGAAGAGCTGGAAATTGTCAGCTATTGCAGTGTTTTACATAAACAGACCTGAAAGAGACCGTTTTAAAAAAATTTTTTTTGTTTTCTTACAGACCATTGTGCAGGTGAAAAAAATCCCTAGTAAGAAGGATGATGGTCACATACTGTTTCAGAATAGACACCGTATTTTAAATAACCTGTGAACCTGTGTGTTACATGGTGCACACACAGACGTCAGCAGCATCTTCTCCGTGTAAATTCAGCTCCATGACGGTGTGCCCTCTCCCTCTTTATGATTGTTCTCATTAATCTCCTAATGTGACACTAGTATTTTCTTTTTAAGAAAGGATAGCACGTGTATAATCTCTTGTGTACCTGTGAGGTTAAATTGGTACATGTTAAAAATTGCTCAGTCTTGAGATGTAAGGAATTTTCTCCGTTTGAAGGGTTCAGTGGCAGAGGGAGAGGCAGTGATGGAGAAGACCGGGTTCCTCCCCTCTGCTTTGCTCCTCCACTTAGCACAGGTAGGGCTAGGTGATCCCAGATCTGTGCTCAGGGCTTTGCCATGGGTGTCAGGGTCCTGAGGCTTCTCAGACGCACAGTAGGAGGAGCTTGTTCTCTGAGGTTTGATGTGGACATTCCAGGCATGGCTGAGCTCCCTGCACAGCCATGCCTGCCCTCCTCGTGTTCCTGCACAGGAGCACCACATGCAGTGTTCATGTGAGTGTGGGCTGTGCTGCCCATATGCACACTTGTAACTGGAGCACCCCTTGGCTCTGCTGTGTGTCCAGGGCTCTTTTCTGGGAGGAGGTACCTTCACAGTCTCGCACCCTGGTCCACGGCACTGGGCCCAGCTGCTCCCCAAAACAGCTCAGGACAGAACTGCGGCCCAGATTGTCTGCACAACCTTGCTCTGTAAGAGGACACAGTGTGCTTGTGGCATTCTGAAGTCTTCTAGAAAAATGTGTTACGTGCCATATCTGTGAGTTTAAGGAGTGTGTTATCTACCGTGCGATGTTATCTATCAGCAATGCTGCATTTACATGGGGAATATGGCATCTGACCGAGCCACAACCATATAGTAAACAGGTCAAACTGAACATGTGGAGTTAGCATCCCTGATCACCACACAGTCACCCAAATTCCTGAGCAGATTTTCACCGCAGTATGTTCCCCGTGTTCCCTGTGTGATCCCCCGGCTATGACATGGAATGTTTGTCCACGTGAGTGGGGAATATGCAACCGTGCACACACGTACAGGTGACTGCTTTGTCACCTCTCTCACCTTTATTAGGTTCACTGGGGGATTTTTCCAACTGCTCTCCATCTTTTAAAGTTAGCCATAAAATGTAGATTTGTTTTCTTTTGTTTTGGTCATAGTGCTAATGTGAGCTTTCCTCTCCCACTGTACTTTGTACCGTATATCCCTAAATGGTTACCAAATGGCATCTTCCTGGGAAAATAAGAAGTCAGATTTTTCACATTCACACAAGATGCAAGACATAGAGTCCATCTCCCCATAACTTCATACGTGAGAAACATTCATGAATCGCTGAACATACACATCCACAGGAAACTGATCAGCACATCCATGTAATGAAAACACACTTGCAGAAAATGAGTGAGAAATCAATCCCACTGGCAGTATTGTGAAAGTAACAATCCTGGATGCAATGTAGCCAAGGTAGTGAGTGTTGTCAGCCTTCTTATTGTAAAACTAGTGGGAAAATTGAACTCCGTCACATTGGAAGGAGTCCTTGAGCACATGAAGCTAAACACATAACATCATTGAAAGTACATGATGCTGTGTGACTTCCAGGTTCAGTGTGTATCTCTTGATGCCATCGCAGATATTCTTCAAGGACATAGGGATAGAAACCCGAATATTTGCATGGAAAACAGAAGAGTTCAGTGTACTCAAAACTGTACTGTGATGAGGAAGATCCCTGGAGGCTTCAACACACTGTGTTGAGAAAGGCTATGTGGAACTGAGTAAATACAGACACACTTGCAATAGAACACAACCAAGAACCTGAAAGCAAATTCAGACTCACAGAAAACTGATGTTTTTTTCCTATGGTGACAAAAGCACACAGTTGAGAATTGGGTCTGTATGTTGATGGGAACCTGGATAAGTTTTCAAAAGGGTAGCTTGTTCTATAACTTGATGCTAGACTTGAAAAAGGGCTGAAGAGTGAGGAATGACTTAAATCTTAGACATGAGACTGTAAATCGACTACAAGAAAACACAAGGCAAATGCATATCGACGAGATCTGGGTGAGCATTTTCTTTGCTAGACCCGCAAGAGTTCAGACAATGTAAGGAGACATAGGCACGTGTTGTTGATATTTGAAGTTACGTTGCTTCTGAGAAGCAAAGAGAATGGCAGAAGAACACTGCAGATCCAGGAGGAAGAATCTTGAAACACACATGTGGTTCACATCGTTGATCCAGAGGCAGAAGGACCATAAATGGAACGCATTCATTGGGAAGGGTGAAGAGGACGGCTGGTGCGTCACTGTCAAGTGGACACCCGCGTCCTGTACTGGGGCGCTGGTTCAAGTCCCACCTGTTCTGACGCCAAACTATGCGCTTAGGGAGTCAGTGGAAGACAGCACGTGTGCATGAGCTCTTGCTGCCCATGTGAGAGACCACGATGGAGTTCCTGGCGCCTGGATTTGGTCTGGCCCAGGCCCGTTTGGGACTAAACCAGCATTTGGAAGATCTTGTTTCTCTAACCCTCCCTCTCTGTTGCTCTACCTTTCTGACAAATACCGGCGTAACCATATTTTCAATGGTGAGACACAGTTGGGGGGGGGGGGCTTGGGATGCTGCACACCTTTCTGTGTGCGTAAGAGTGGGTTCTGGCTCTGATCCTGGTTTCTGCTTCCTGGCTTTGTTCAGTTTGGCAGACCATGCGTGATGTGTCCAGTGTTCTCTGGGGGACACTTGGGTTGATCACATGTTTGTGGAGTCAGTGGCCCATCCGCTGGTGCTTAGTCATCTGCCTAGTAGGCAAGAGTGTGGAAAATCTGTTTCCTTCATTGCAAGTAAATGAATACATATTTAAATTTAAGTATTTGAAAGTGATGACATATTATTAATAGTTTCTTTCAAAAGAAATATACATGACAGACATATGTATGAAATTGTTTAAAGCTCCAATCACCGTGGAAATAGAGATTAGAACCAGAGATATCCCCTGGCTCCTGCTAGGGCTAATGTTGGCAGAAACGTGAGAGATACCACTTGTGGTGGACGTGAAGAAGTGATATTCCTTGCAAATCAGAGAAGTCATCATGAAAAGCAGTGTAAATGTTCATGAAATGAAGAAACAGAACTGCCGTAGAATCTGTAATCCCTCTGTTGGGGTACGTCCAAGGGATATGTTGCTATATCAGAGTTAGAGCTGCAGTCCCATACACAGTAGACGTAGCATCAGTTACAGCTGGCTCGGGTGTATAATCAAGCAGCACTTGCACAAAGGAATCAATGGATAATGTGACATTTCATCATGGAATAGTATTTGGTGTTTAGAAAATTCGCTGTCATTTTTGACAACTTGTGTGATTTGGGAGTACACTCTGTAAAGGACAAAAGTAAGTATAAAATGCTAAGTAAGAGGCGACAGGAACATGCCCCGTGTCCCTTTCGGTGTGGTCTCTAACACGCTGAGTCCATAGGGGCAAGAAGCACTGTGGTGATCAGTCTGGACTGTGAATAGCAGAGTTGAGGTCAAGGTTCCAGAGGTTCATTCAGACAAGAGACACCGTCTAGCGATCTACTGAACAACTGGGTGACAATAGTTAATATGCTGTGTTCTGCAAAATTCCCTACAGGGATGGAAGAATAGAACATTCTTTTTTTTTTTTAATGCTTTGCTTTATTTTAAGCAGAAGATATTACAGTAGGTTTACTTTCTAATTTTGATTTTTGCTTTTCCTTTTTACTACTGTGAAAAGAACAGATTCCATGCACACCATAAGCACAGCTCCAAGAGGACAGCCGCACCCTTTGTTCCCTGCTTCCTCACTCCCACTCTCCTGTGTCTGTTCTTATCGGTGTTTGCACAGTCATCATTTTCATCCACTCCATCCACAGGCTTAAATTGTCACTAATCATGACATTCAACAACACCGCATGCCACCGGAGTATAAACATGGACTGAAAATGACAATTCAACCCCACAGCGGCGGTTTCATTCCCACCCTTCTTTGTGTGTCTATCTTAGCTGCAACATAATGAAGACACGCAGTTTGTCTCTTTGAGACTGGCAGATTTGGCTGAGCATCATGGGTACCAGTTGCATCCATTTTGTTGCCGAACAAGATCTCATTTTTGAAATTGTTGAGTGGTAGTCCATGCTGTATATAAGCCATGTTTTCCTTATCCACTCACCTCTTGAAGGGCATCTGTGCAGATTCCAAATCTTAGCTACTGTGAATTGAGCTGCGATAGACATGGGTGTACAAATGACTCTCTTGCATACTGATTTCATTTTGTCTGGGTCCGTGCTCAGGAATGGGATTACTCAGTCACATGCTAGATCTGTTTTCAGGCACTGAGCAGTCTCCATGCTGTCTCCCACAGTGTTCGCACTAGCTTACATTCCCACCAGCAGCACCTTCGAGGACCTTCCGTCCATGTCCTCACCAGCGTCTGCTGTGTTCTTGTTGTTTTAAGTTTGATGACAACCTTCTGACTGCATTGAGGTGAGCCCTCATTGTGGCTTTTATTTGCATTTCCTTGATGACTAGTGATCCTTAGAATCTTCAATTGCAAGTTGGCCTGTGTCTTGCATGTCTTCTGCACACTTCCTAGCTGGAGTGTGTACTTTGCTTGTGTTAAGTTTGTGGGACACGTTTTATATCCTGCATGGGCTCTGACAATCTTCCACAACAGATGACAGCAGGGTTTGTGTGGAGGACGTGCTAAAGATTCTGACTTAATGATTGCACGTGGCATGCATTCAGACACCAACAAGTTTCACTAACCTCATGCACATATTTGATTTTCAACACAGATTTATAAATAGTAAATGGTAAAAATACTACATTCTTTTAAAATTTCTGATCCATTTAAAGTTTTTTGATACTGTACAGTTTTGGTGAGATTTTTTTTGGGGGGGGTTTATTTATTTTTCTTGGAAAGACAGATTTATAAAGCGACCACGAGACAGAAAGATCTTGCATCTGCTGGTTTGCTCCCAAATGACTGCAATAGCCATAGCTGAGCCAATCAGAAGCCAGGAGCTTCTTCCAGCTCTCCACATGGGCTCGCGGTCCCAAGGCTTTTGGGCCATCTTCTTTTGTGTTACCAGGTTATAAGCAGTGAACTGAATGGGATGCGGAGCAGCCAGAACATGAACCAGCACCCATAAGGGATTCCAGCCCTTTCAAGACAAAGGATTAGCCAGCTGAGCTCTCATGTCAGGCCCCCAAATATTAAATTCTATAGATTATTTCCAGCTAATGGACACTGACATTTTTACTTTAAGATGATAAATAAATGCAATTGTATTTATTCCTAACATGGACTTCATGGAGGTGTGAAGGTCCACCGTTCTAATAAACCTGGAAGTTTATCTGCCAGATGTAACTCCTCAAATCCTGCTCTCTTGACTTGCATCCTGTCCCCTCCTGGAACAGACCATCTCTTCCTCCATTTTAACTCCAAGGGAAAGACCTTGCAAAGTTCTACTCACTTTATAACAGAAATCATCAAATATCAGCTTGGTGTTAGACACACTCTGTAATCTGCCGACAGAGTCCTCCACATCCTGCTCTCTCACATTCAGGACACGAGTCCTGGTTGGAGTTCCCAACATCTTGTGGTTACGCATGCACCACAGCTTCCTATACAGAATGACAGCTCGTTGCCACCTGATGTGTGAATCCCACGGTGTTTATACGATGTGCTTCATTTGCTTACCGCTGGATTGATTCTGAGCATCCTATCATTCTCCACTGTGAAGGCTGTCAACAAAGAGAATTGCACATCTGGAACTTTCTAGCAGGGTGGATATCCGGTGATCTCACATTGAAATGAAGGACATTGTATGAGTTGATGGATACAGGGATTACCTTTGCTGTGTGATTGTTTACTAGGTTTGCACACATGAAGACATGGCGTTACACATTTTTATACTCATAACTCCTGTTCAACTCACTCACAGAATTTCAATTTAAGGACATTTTGAAGAGAAAAACATTTTAATTGTTGGTCTCTAACAAAAGCATCTGTAGACATTGAACATCTGGTCCTGGAGTGATGAGACCTACCAACCAGGCAGAACACAGCACCTAGAGTTTGAATGTGGCTTGAGTGTGTGCCCCACATTTTCAAGTATTGGAGGTGGAGTCCCTAGGAGGACCATATGAGAAGTGACGGAGCTTTAGGGATTAAGGCGTGTTGGAGGGTTTGTACGTGGCTCTGGGAGCCTGCCCTCAGAAGAGATTCGATTTAAGTGTTCCCAGCTTCCGCCAGGAAGACAAGATTTTCAGAGACCCTCTGGGTCCTCCTGGCTTCCTGTTTTAGGATGTGAACTGTGCCACAGGCATTCTCAGTGTTATGATGCGTATTCCCACCTACCCTCACCCATGGGGCTGCCTGGTCCTGGACTTCATCCTCCACAGCTGTGAGCTCAATACACCCTTTCCCTTGGGCAGTCTCCTTCCTGGGCTATTGGATGACAGAGCAACAAACGAAGGGCAGGGGCCTCTGGACAAAGAGTCAAAGAGCACAGTCAGGAGAGGCAGATGGACACAGGGTTCTCTGGACAAAGGCTCTCCGTGGCAGCACTTGGTGCAGTGCTGATTCTGCTCTGGGTATCTGTCCCAGATAAACAGTTTCCATCGAGCTGGGCACCACTGTCCAGGAATCATAGCCATGGATTTGCTGCCCTGTGACCACAACAGGTCCAGGGGATTCCATGATAGTTTGGGTAAAACCAGGACGGCTAGTGTCCACACCCAGCACCTTCCAGTGAATCGTATCCTTTGACCACTAATCTGTGTTTCCCACTACAGTTCCTGGCCTGGAACCACAGGGGAGTCCCAGGATACTGAGAGTGAGCTTGAACCAGCTCAAACCATACCTGAACTGAGGGCAACACCCGGAGTGCTGTAAGCCTGGACCCCAGGAGCCCGGACCGTTTCCTGAGTAAGGGGGAAAGGGAGAGGTTGGCACAAGGAAGAAAGGAATATAGACTATCCAAAATGAAAAGATGCATAACTGAGTCACTCTGAATCACAGAAGCCCAGAATTATGGGGGAAAATAAGATGTGAAATCCTTTAGGTTTAACAGATTAAACACTCTAGTAGGCTGTTCCTGTCTTCCAAGCTGCACACCAAAACTGTCCTGCATTGGAACCCGGGGGCCCTGCCCTGGTCTGATCTGAGAAGACATGTTGGGTCCTAGGGTATTCCCATGGTCTTGAACCCTGACAACCCTGCAGTCTTCCATGAATCCACAACTTGTTCTCATAACAACGTCATCTTGTCTCAAAGCTCTCTAACTCAGGATGTCCTTGTGGAGATGAAAGCAAACATTTACAATTGTCCACTGGACTGCTGTGGGTTCCTTAACAGGAACCAAGCCTATGTCTGCATTTAGTATTGAGTCAGCTCAGCGATCATTGTGCGCCCCCTGGTGGAGCCACAGGCCCTGCAGCCAGGTTTGTGCCTGGGCTCACACTGAGGTCCCTGCACTGTGTCTCTGGCACAGTAATAGATGGCGGTGTCCTGGGCTGTCAGAGCGGTCATTTGCAGGGACACCGTGCTGGTGGCGCTGCTGCTGGAGATGGTGAATCGGCCCTTCACGGAGGACGCGTAGTATGTGCTACCACTACTACCAGCATAAATGCATGCGAGCCATTCGAGCCCCTTGCCAGGAGCCTGGCGAATCCAGCACATGTAGTAGCTACTGATGCTGAATCCAGAGACTTTGCAGGTGAGTGTCAGTGTCGCCCCAGGCTCGACCAAGTCTCCGCCGGACTCCTCCAGCTGCTCCTGACACTGGACACCTGCAAACACAAACGTCCTCGTTGGAAACTATCACTCACACCCACTGACCTCTCACCCTCATCCTCTCCCATACTCAACACCCCTTGTCCTCCATCACTGACCTTGGAGCACAGCCACCAGGAGAAGCCATCTCAGAGCAGTCTCCATGGTGAGTGTCTGTGTGGAGTGTGATCCCTGAATGGGACAGCTGGGAGTCCCTGGTCTGGGGCTCCTGTGTCAGAGCTGCTGGTGAGGCTGGTTTTCATGAGCAGAGGGAGGGCCCTATTTGTATGTCCTGCTTCTATTTAACAAGTCGCGTAGTCAGAGGCTTCGGAGATGTCAGGAGCCAGAGCAGATGAGAGTGATTAATGTGACAGAGACTCAGAAATTATGATTTCTCATGTTATGATTCGCATTTGAAATTGTTATACGGTATTGCCTTGTTTTATTTTATTGAGCTATTCTGGAATACACAGCTTTCGCGTTAATTTGGTATGAATTCATTATCTACTTGAATGGCATTGTAACAGGGAAAGGGAGAGAGGGAGACAGAGCTAGTCACAGCAAGAGTGAGAGAGGGAAGGAGAGAGAGAGATGAAATGCATAGAGAGAGACAAGGCACTAGCTAAATAGAAGTGGTGAAGGAAGCAGCATTGTGTGGCTGCTGAGACTGCCTCTCCCTGTATTACTGGCACCATTGTGGATGCTGCTTTGAGTACTGACTGATGCACTTCTGATCCAGCTCCCTGCTCATGATCCTGGTAAAACCCTGGAGGACAGTGCAGGAGCTCAGGCCTCTGCACCCACATGGGCTCCGAAGGCAAGCCTCTGGTTTCTGTCCTCTCTGTCTTTCTCCTGCCGCATCTGTACCCCTGACTTTCAATTAAACAAACTAAGCTTTAAGAATGGAAGGGAAAGGGGTCCACATGATAGCTCAATTGACTAATCCTCTACCTCCAAGCTCTGGGATCCCATATAGTTCTTGTCCATGTCTCGGCTGCTCTGCTTCCCATCCAGCTCCCTGCTTGTGGCCTGGGAAAGCAGTCGAGGACGGCCCAAAGCTTTGGGACCCTGCACCCACGTGGGAGACCCTGAAGAGGCTCCTGGCTTCGGATCGGCATAGCATCGACCGTTGCGCTCACTTGGGGAGTGAATCATCGGACGGAAGATCTTCCTCTCTGTCTCTCCTCCTTGCTGTATATCTGCCTTTCCAATGAAAAAATAATAAAAATAAATCTTTAAAAAAAAAGAATAAAAGGGAGAGATAGACACATGGAGAGGAATATTTTCTGTTTTGGGCTTGACACCCAAACGCTTGCAACAAACAGGACTTGGTGAGGTGGAATTCAGGCGCCTGTAGCTGCGTCCATGTTTCCATCTTGATGGTGAGGGCGTAGGTCTGGCACTGTCCTCCACTGTTTCCCAGAAACAAGCATGGGACACACTAAACTGGGCTCAGGGCAGTGGTCTGCTTTGGCATGTGGCTATCCTAGTGGGGCCTCAAAACTACTTGCCAACACCTGACTCTGCTCTGAAACTTAGGGAAGTACAGGAATGGGTTGTTTTGGGGACAGACCAGTGTTCACCCATTTATGTGCTGCAGTATTTTTAGAATTTTTGGTGAACACATGTGATTTGCCCTTTTCTGTGATGTCTGTGTGTGCTACTGCAGAGCATGTGCTGTACACATCACTCAGTGACACTGACATCCCAGCTCCTTTTCATCACACTGTGCTTGGGGCTGAAAATCTCCTAGATGTTCATAAGATACACTGGGTTGTGGGAACTGAGGCAGCCCAGTGCAGTTGCATCCTATGAGTGGTGCTTTGAGCCCTGGAATGGAATCTCCTGTGCTCCCTTCCTGCTTTCCCATTGTCTGGTAATCATGACTCCACGTTCACATGAGTTGAGAGGTAAGGAGCCACGTGTCAACAGTCACATCATCGTAGGTTCAGTCAGTGCAGCAGTGTTCACAGTACCTCAAATCAATACTAAAGCAAATATATCATGAATGCTATAATGAAATATTACTCAACATTCAAAGCAGGCATTGCTGTCATTTGGGGGACTGAGGGTGATCTGCAGTAGATTATGCTAAGTGAGTTAATCCAGACACACCGACCCATGCTACACTATCTGTGTTACACATGGAAAGCCATGGTTTGACTTTGTGGGGTAGGAACTACACTGGAGGTTAGCAGAGGTCAGGCCTGGGACAGAGAAGGGGTCACATTAGTGCAAGGACGAGGGTTTGAGGTTGACTGGAGACACTCATCTAGCGACTACTGAGCAGCACGTTGACCACAGTTGTGGTGATGCATCCTGTCCTTCAGCCCTTCCAGGAGCTGATGTTTTTTTTTTTTAAATTGCATTGCATTAAGTGACACAGTGTTATAGGTTCTGGGATTCCCCCCAACCCATCCCGAACCCTCACCATGGTGGATTTCTCCACCTTGTTGCATTACCACAGTTCAAATTCAGTTGAGGTTCTTTCATTGGACGTTATTTATCAAGCATAGAGTCCAGCATCTTATTATCCTAGTGAGTTCAACGTTTTCTTGGTGAGACCATCTCTGGTCTGAAGGTAAAGCCAGCAAAGTATCATCCCAATCAATTAAAAGCCCCAGCATAACATCAACAACCATTTTCAACATTATGGCATTAACTGACATGGTATTGATGAACCAATATGTTAATAGGAAAATGCAGGTTCTTAACTACATCCTGTGACTTCTTCATAGACATTTCAATTTTGGTTTCTATTCAACCAGTGTATATCCTATACACCTCAAAATGGCTATAGATTACTATTCAGCTGTCTCGTGTCTATTTTCATTTTAGTATTTAGCTGTTTATAGTGTTGAAGCATGATTTTGCTGAACTTGGTTGCTTTTCGGATGGTCTGAACCGCCGGGTCCCAAAGCTTTGTGCCGTCCTTGACTGCTTTCTCAGGCCACAAGCAGGGAGCTGGATGGGAAATGGAGCTGCCGGGATTAGAACTGGTGCCCATATGGTATCCCGGCATGTTCAGGGCGAGGACTTCAGCCACTAGGCCATGGTGCCAGGCCCGTAAGTGTGAATGTTAACAGCCTTGTACATGTGCACAATTATAAAAGCTATCAGTAACAGGCTGTACTTTGTGTCCTGGATATTGTGCTAATATAGACAAAACATTAAAGACTGACATATATTGTAGCACATCCTTTGTAGAGACAGCATGCTCTGAGTGCTGTCTCTAGAGATGGCGAGTTGAACCTTCACGGAGTCCAGGTAACATGTGCTACCACCACTGTTACTAGTGAATGCAATCCACTTGAGTGACTTTCGGTAGCCTGGTGAAGCCAGGACGTCACATAACCACCTAAAGTGAATCCAGAGACTTAGCAGGAGTGTTTCAGGGACTCCCTAGCCTTGACCAACCTCAACAAGCCTCCAAATGCTGCTGCTGACACTGGACACCTGCAAACACAAACATCGTGGTCAGGAGACTCTCACACCCACTGTCCTTTCATCCTCATCCTCTCCCATACTCAACACCCCTTGTCCTCCTCCATCACTGACCTTGGAGCACAGCCACCAGGAGAAGCCAGCTCAGAGCGGTCTCCATGGTGAGTGTCTGTGTGGAGTGCGATCCCTGAGTGGGACAGCTGGGAGTCCCTGGTCTGGGGCTCCTGTGTCAGAGCTGCTGGTGAGGCTGTTCTGATTTTTCTGAGCACAGGGGAGGGCCCTGTTTGCATGTCCTGCTTGTATATAATAAATTCTGCTGTTTTGTGTTCAGAGAAGTGAGTGCCCTGAGCAGATGGAGATGTTCTGTGACCGTGAGTTATGACGTAAATTTAGAAAATCTGATTTCTTACATTATAAGCCTCGTGTTTAATATTATGGACAGTTTTCTTGCTTCATTTTAATATAGGTGTACATCTAAAATACAGTGTTACTATTCCGTATTCTTTGCTGTTTACATCACCATTCATTAGCATGCTTTTACAAGAGACTGTAGGATGGGGAAAGCAAGAGGCAAACAGAGAGGAAGAGATGGACACAAAGAGAGCCTGGGGAACATCCTGTACCTTTAAGTGAAATCGAATGTCTGGATCCGCTGGCACTTGGTCGACTACACCTGGGGTCCTGGGGTTCATCTGCATTCACCACGTTGTTAGAACAGACTCATGCACTTGTACGATACGCTACTGTTTCCCAGGATGCATTATCGGACGAGAGTTGGGGTATGTCATTGTCTTGGCTCCAGCATTGCACATGGTTGCCTTTTCGTGTTTCCACTGCTTCACTTCTGATCCAGCTCTCTGGAGATGGCCTCAGATTGCTCCATAGGATGGGCACAAGTCCTCATGAAATAGCATCTATGTAGGATACTTGGAAACACCTCCTGGATTTGGATTGGTCCAGCTCTTGCCGTTTTGAGCATTTGGGAGAGAATGAGAAATTGAAGATCTTTCCCTCTTCATCTCTGCTTCTCCCTATAAACTTGCCGTTCAAATAAAAATAAGTATATCCTTAAAAAATAAGAAACAAGAATGGGAAATAGTGTATGTGGGTTCAATCCAGTTCTTGGAAACAAAGCAAGAGTTCTTGATTGGGGCGCACCAACTCTGCCCTCATTTCAGTCTGTCTTAAACTCTAGAAGAAGGCAAGTGGTTTCCTTTTGAGTCGCCTGTATGGTTATTGATTTGTTTGCTGCCTTTATTTCAATATATTGGAAACCGTGTATAAATACCAGGTTTCTGGGGTATAGTGTGCTATTACAGTTTATGCGTTGCAGCAGTGTGAGCAGAACTACTCAGTGTAACTTTCATTTCTACCTCCTTTTCATGGTCTCATGCATGGTGACCTCTGTTGTAGTGAATCATGAACGATGTCACCGTTTGTCACGAACCAAGTCATCTCCTTGTGGGGTAGAATGGAGTTATTCCTCCTTCTGAGTGGTGCTTTGGATCCTGGTCCAGTCTCTGCATGTTCCAGTTGTCCCTTCCCAGTGTCTCTTATATGTAAATCGGCCTGCAAATCAGGCAATGTTTGTGAAGTCACCATGTCCAATTATCACAGTGATATTCACAATAGTTCAGGTCATTAATAAAGCTTAATGTTCACTACAGGTACATGAAAGCTCTTACATTTGAAGATGGACTAGGATTCCATCCATCTAGCCATCCACTCAAGACCATCCATTCATCTTCTGTCTTCCTTCCCTCCTTCCCTGCCTTCCTTTCTTCTGTCCCTGCCCATCTAGCTATTGCTCCAATCCTCAAGGAGACAGAGAAGTTCTGTTACTTGGGAAACAGTTGACCCAGGAGTGTGCAATGCTCAGCAGTATAGACCTGGAACTGCCTCCATCACAGAGGACCTGCATGAGAGAGCCTGAGGGTTGTGATCTAGACAGGTAAACTCCCAATTCTATTCTTTTTTTTTTTTTTTTTTGTATCTTAGGAGGTTTATTCCAAGCTGGGAGGAATGGGGTAGAGGTGGTGAAGGTCAGCGGGGAGTGGGGAAAAAGGGAAGGAGGGAGGGGAGGGAGGCCGGAGGGAGAAGAGAGAGAGCCATACTTGGGGCCTTTTTGTCACTCTGGTGAACCTGCAAGGTGTGTGGGGGCGGGGATTGGGAGGGATCAAGAGCAGGCCCCAGGGGATGGGAGCTTGAGACTGTCACAGGTGGTGATTGCCTAAGAATGATTAGTAAGTGGGCGGAGTTGAGGATGGGGTTGGGAGATTGGGGGTGGGATTCTCAGGTGAAATGCCTGATTGGTGGATGGCTGGACTGGTGCGAATTTCGTGAGCTGTGAGGAAGAGGAAATGGCACCAGGTCCAGGGTGGGGTATTCGAATAACTCCTTATATTCCTCCCTTTTGTTTTATATAAAGGAAATGGACATTGTTCTGTACGGCTTCTTCAAGCTGAGTTTTCTCTTGGCAGTAGTTGCAGCCTGGTGGGAGGAATGGGAGATAGAGGGATGCTCCTCGTCCTGCATAAGAAACTGGTTAATGGTTTGATTAGAAAATTTTTTACATTTGAGTGGATGACACAGGAATGGAGGGAGGGGTTATTAAGCGTCCTTTTGTAGTGGCTAAAGTCCTAGCCTTGAACGCATCGGGATCCCATAAGGATGCTGGTTCTAATCCTGGCAGCTCCACTTCCCATCCAGCTCTCTGCTTGTGGCGTGGGAAAGCAGTCCAAGACAGCCCAAAGCCGTGGGACCCTGCAGCTGTGTGGGAGATCCGGCTCTAGCTTCGGATTGGCACAGCTCCAACCATTACGGCCACTTGGGGAGTGAACCATGGGACAGAAGATCTTCTCTGGCTCTCCTCCTCTCTGTGTTAGAGGCAACCAAAGTGTTAAAAGGTCTATGTATTAGAAGTGGTTTGAGTAAGTCAAAAGCAACTTGAATTTAAAGTAAAAAGGAGAAGTTTCTACAAATAACTTGGGTCACACTCCCAGGCTTAGGCTGTGAGGTCAGTGGGTCTTTTGCAGGCACTGATAAGAGTAAGAGCAAGAACCCATTGTCCCCCGCACCCAGGCTCAGGATGTAAGTAAGGGTCAGTGGCCCTGATAAGGGTAAAAATAAATAGCCCCATGGTCCGTATTTCACAGATATGTTACCTATTGGTTTGCATCTGTAACCCCTTAGCTTAGAATAGTTTTGTCTTGTCATGATGAATAGGGACTTGAGGCATTTTGCGGGCCTTTAGTTGATTGGAGTGTTTCATATTTGCTTTAAAATGATTGGAGTGTTTTTCACGGGCGCGGGCTTTGCTGTAACAGCCAAACTGGCCTATAAGAATCAGGCTTGTCCCTAGCTCGGGGTCTTGCCTCATCCACCAGTCCTGCGTGGCCAAGTGAGGAGCTTGACCCTGGCTAGCCAGCTCAATAAACTCTGCTTGCTGATTGCATCCACTTCTGGTTCTTTGCTATCCAACAGTGGGATGATTTTGGACCCTAACATCTGTATATCTGCCTTTCCAATAAAAATGAACAATAACTCTTGAAAAAAAGAGTCTTTTTGAAAAGATGGCTTGAGTTCTTTTTCTTTAGCCAGGCCTTCTTGTACTTTGGTCATCAATTCTTCATTACTCCTGAATGGTGAACGTAGACAAGGTAGCTTCACCAGGAACCAGAGACCCTGACTGCCTATCATCCCATCTAACTCCTCACATTTCCAAACAGAGGAGTGAACCCCAACTATTCTTCAGGCCAGTTCTATTTTTTATCATTTAATTTTCATTTTACATGATGATTATATGGTTGATCAGGGTGGGGAGGTTCAAGGGTTAGGGAAAAGTGGGTGAAATCATTGTTTCCAAATTTGCTATTTCTTCTTTTTCAGTGGAAGAGATAAAGGCAGAATCCACACCCGGCTTCCCAAATGTGCCAGTGGCCAAGGATGAGGAACTGCCACCTGATCTCAACCCAGGGTCCTGATGTGTACATGTGCCAACGGTTCTGCCCAAGTTGTTTGAATAGTTCTGAAATGCTGTCAATTTCGCTGATCCAAAAATGATTCAGACTCCTCTCCATGTGCATTGGCTGACATGGCCAACCCCAAGCCTCCATTCACTCACGTTTTTGCTGAAATTATTTGGATGGAGTAGTTGTCCATTTTTTCCATTCTCCTTCTGCTATGGTACCAAATAGGCTGCGATGATCTACATGTGCATCAGGGTCTGCATCCACTGCTCCATTTTTTTTTTTCCACTGAGGAGGACATATTCTAGTAGGCAAGCCCAAAGACCTGGGCCAGGTGACTGGAGCCCCGCCAGATCCCCTGCCCTTGAGTCTCATGAGCCTAGCACAGGGGGCACAGGGTCTTGGGTCAGGAGACCCAAGCCCTGCTAGATCCCACATCCCCAGGGCTGGCACCCCCTCACAGTTGGGCCCAAGTACCTGAGCCAGGTGACCTGAGCCCTGCCTGATTCCTCACAAACCCGGCACTCAACTAGCAGATGGGCACAGGGACCTGGACCAGGTTACCTGAGTCCTACCAGACCCTCTTCCCCAGGGCTCATGAATCTGGCATCCATTGACCCAGGCTGGCATGGCTTGCCTTACCTCAGCATCCACTGTTGTTCCACACACCCTGGCTCAGTCTATCCTGCCCCCTGTTCCAGGTCTTGCTGGTGGGTGCTGCAGCCATCCCAGCCCAGCTTGATCACTGTCCCTGCCCTAAAATGAACTTGCTGGTGTTTTGGCTTGACCTGGCTCCTCCTGCACCCTGTCCTGGTTCTCAGATCTGCCAGTAGATGTTATGAACTGCCCCAGCCTAGTCTGTCGCCAGACCTGACACACATGTCTGCCGGTGGGTACTGTAACCAGGCATGGTCTGGGCTGCTTTTTGCTTGAGTCTTGCATTCACCTGCAAGGACTGCATCCTGATGAATGAGTTCCCCAAAGTTTCTCTATTGGGTCTCCTCCCAGTGGCAGATCTCACACACATCAGTGGGTCCTTGGCCCAGGTTGAGTTTGTCTACGTCTTGCCCTGGCAGGAACAGTGGCCTTGCTCAACTGACCCACACCCATTCTTGTGCTTACTGTTGGGTGTTGCAACCCAGCCACACCTGTCCATGCCTGGACCCAGCTTTTGTGTGGTTCAGCAGAAGTCAAGACTTACCCCAGCCAATTCTACACCCACCCTGGCTCTCACGATTACCAGTGGGTGCTGGAGTCTAGTCCAATCTTCC